AAGATTAAAGGTCGTACCAACCCTTTTAGGTCTCATAAATCACAAGTGTTTTCAAACGCAGGAAAATTCCTGCCAAGATGGAATGCTTCTCCAATAACCAAGCAAACGTTTATAGCCAAAAGATTTAAAGGAACTTTCCAGGGGGAAATACAAGGAAGAATTCAGCACAGGTGCTTGTTGAATGCACAAACACACACGCAGAGGGACAGCAGGATCTATGAAACTGTTTCTGTGCACTTGTGAAAATGGATCAGAGATGACCCGCCGTATTCTGCAACGTTTAAACAGTCTTCCATATGTGACTGATACCCTAAGCAGGGAACTGAGGCCTCCGGAAGTAAGGAAGCCTGTGGTTCTCACAGTCACTGGAATTCTCCTGAGAGAGCTTTTCCTGGGAGCCCTAGCAACAGGGCCAGAATGAGATTCAAAGCAGGATAACCAGCAACAGCCAATCAGCTTTATGCAGAAATGTAGCAGTGATTTTAAAAAACATCATCCATTGAGTATCTACTTTATGCCTTTTGTCTGTCATCTTGGCTGTCCCTAACCCTCAGTCGTTTGAGGCGGGCCTAACTATTCCCCATTTTACACACTGCTGAATTCCTTTTCTCGCTTTATATTTCACTGTAGCACTCTCCCTTTTTAACATGCTGTATAATTTATTTTGTTTATTGTCCTCACTAGAAGGTGCGCTCCAGGAGGACAGCATTCTTACCAGTTTTACTCACTGTTGCCTTCCTGGAATCCAGAGTAAATGAATAAATGAGTGAATGAATGAATGGAGGTGCAGAGTGGTTAAATGACTTTCCTCTGTCAAACTATTACTTAAGAGACAGAGCTAAGATTTGAACTCAGGTCCTGGGTGCTACACCAACACACATCAGTAATGGTAGCTGTGAGGATAAGCATCTAAGACATACTCTAAGAAAGCTAGTTGGGCATTTATTGAATGGTTGACTGATGAAGAGGTGTATGAAGTCAAAGAAAAAAACCAGATGTAAAAGAAGCAGGAAGGAAATGAGCCTGACTTTTGATCCTTGACATCTGTGGGGAAGGAGCAACATAACACGTGAAGCCCAGAAAAGCCTGGTGGCCAAAATTCAGTTCAAAAGTGCAGACTTTGATTCCTTCAAACTTCAGGAGGAATAACGAAGTGTGGTGGGTGCAGTCTCCACAACGCCTTCTAATATGGGTAGACCTAACGGTCTGTAAAGAGTCAGACCTCAAATCCCCACCCCACCATTTGCTACCCTCTGACCTCAGGCAAATTCCTTAATCTCTGTAAAGGGGAATAATTTGCATGGGTTTTCTGAAGACTGATGGAAATACCATTTGTAAACACAGAAATTAAGACCATGCCCAGTGTGTGATAAATGCCCATTAGCTATTACTTCAATTATATCAGTTTAGTGCACAGAGTGTTTAAGAGGGGAGCAGTAGTGAGAAGTTAGAAAGGTAGCTGGGTATATTCTGTATTTAACCGGTTTAAAGGATTTTGATGTCGGTTTGTAACAGCACATGCTTTTCTTGACATCTGAATCACTTAGCACAGTTCCTCAGAGGATTTCTCCTGAGACTAGGGAATTCCAGGCGGCCTCTTAGGCCTCACACAGCATCGTTGGGATGGAAAGGACTGGGTCCATTCTGCAGGTTACAAATTCAGAAAGATCAAAATAATACCAATGCTTAATGACACACCAACAACGTCTTAGGGCATCTCACTATACCTTTTCAATCATCACAGAGATTCTATCAATTTCCTTATGCCAACGTGGAAGACTATGGCTTAAAAAGGTAGAGGATATAATCAAGGTCGCACATTTAGGAAGGGGTGGGGACAGACCCCGTCAAACCTGGGCCGTCGCCACCCCAGGGGCCCTTTCTTTCAAGTCAGTTCAATTCAGTCGCTCAGTCATCTCCGACTCTTTGCGACCCCATGGACTGCAGCACGCCAGGATTCCCAGTCCATCACCAACTCCCGGAGTTCGCTTTTTTTTAACACCGCACTTTTTCGGACCCAAAGGTTAGAAAGCCATGCTATAAAATGTCTAGGGAGGAGCTGAAGGATTCAGAAGCATGGGCAAAGCTAAATGTTTCAAGTTGGAAAAGTGTGGCCACCATCACCCCAAACTGATGCCCAGGCTCAGGTAACTGCACTTTTAAAAATGGCTAAATGGAAATCAACTTCTCTCCCGGTCTCTTCTGTTGGAGGGCTTGGGCTGAAAGATTTTGCTCATTTCAGTTCCGCTGCAGGGCATCCCGCCTCTCCCCTCCTGGTCTCCAGGTCTCATTAACAGAAAGGCCTCGCGGTAGAGACATCTGCAACAGGTGGGGGCAGGTCGGAGGCGTCACCTCCCGCGCAGGCCTCCTCCAGCTCGAACCGGATGGTATGCAGTGAAATATGGGAGTTTTGTTCCAAGGGATGACCAAAAAAGGCGCAGGGAGAGGAGTGCTCAACCCCCACCTTCTCCCAGCACGCTTCTCCAGGGGCGGCCCGACCGCAGCAAAGCTCCAAAATTGGCAACCTGGGCCTAGCAGCCGCCTTTTTTTTTTTTTGTCAGCCTACATTCTCCACACCAGGGAAGAAGACGGGTGACTAAAGATGCAAATTGGAGCGGGGGAGTCAGCAGGCAGGCCCGTGGGTGCAGGGCGTCTAGCTTGGGGAGACCCCGCGACCTCAGGTGCCCCCAGCGATATCCGCGGTGGGCGCTGAGCGCCGCGAGGGCGCTCGGAAAAGCCGCTCCCAGCCGAGCCGCTGCCTCCGCTTCCGCCTCCCCGGCGGCGGCGGCGACGGGACAATGCGCGGCCTCTTTCCGCCCGGGGTTAGGGAGGGGCGGCCGGATTGGGGCCCGCGCCTTCCGGCCGCAACCCTCCCGCCCCCACCCTCTGCGCGCCGCGCCGGCCGCACACAGGTGGTTTTCCGCTCGGGAGCAGCAGGCTCGGGTACTTTCATATAACAATATGGTTGTGCGCGCTGGGAATGTTCCTCCCTGCCGCCGCCGCCACCGCCGCGGCCCCCACCCGCCACGCCTCTATCCGGCAGCCCGCTCCACCCCGTGGTACGCCGGCCGAGCGCGGCTCGCTGCTCTGGCCAGCACCTCCACAATTACCTGCTGCCTTTGCAGCGCGGCAGAGACGTTCCCAAAAATCCCCAGGTCGCCTCTCGAGCTGGGGCAGGCACTCCTCGCCCCACACCCGCCCCAGGCAGAACTGGAGCCCAAAGTTCTGCACTCGGCCCCCCACCGGTCCCCGGGGTCCCTAGACGCTCGGCGCCAGATGAACTGGGCTGCGGAGGCGGCGGGTGCTCACGAGGAGCGCAATGCGCAGGAGGGGGCAGTGTTCCGCCAGTGCCCGGCGACTTGCAAGGGAGGGGGTTGCTGCCCCGGGAAGGAAGGGGCTGACCCGGCGCGGGTTGTCGGGGTGGCTCCGTTCTGACATGCCTCGGTCTACAGTAAACCAATCGCTGAACCCACCTTGAGACTCCGCAGCCTGCAGGCCTTGCGGGAGGACTTCCCGACGCTTTGCGGATGGTGGGGACAGCCTGCCTGGCTCCGCGTGACCGGGTGCACTTCGTCCAGGAAGCCCCTCCAGGGAGGCTCCTGTGTCTGGAAGCTGAGCTCGCTGCTCAGAAATGATTAAGGAGCGCTACCACCCAGCACGCAGTGGGTGACGGCGGGGACTGGGGAGGGGGTGCTTGGATCCCCGGAACAATAGCTTATAACGCCCCACGCCGTCCCAGAGGAATAAAAGCATTTAGACTGCCCAACGACTTTGTTCTGCAGTCTCCACTGGTTTTTAAAAAATTAATTAAAAGGCTGTTTTTTTTTTTTTTCCCAAGAGGCTTGCTTCCTATTATCTGGACTTCCAAGCATTTGCTTGCTTAAAAATGTTTCAACAAAATCCTGGTTTGTTTCAAAAGATGTTGGATTAGCATTTAACACCTCATCGGTCACTAAAGCCCAGGCAGTTTACCAGCCCCAACAGAGCCTCGGCTAAAAGAACATCAGGGGAAACAGAGCTGGGCTTTTAAAACTGGCAAACAAATGCCACACACACTGCCTAAGGGGGGCGGGGGGAGCGATCGTGAACTCCAGTGCTAATGAGTTTAAAGGGAAGAAAAGAGAAAAAGTCAGCACAAGTTTCCCTAAAGCTAGTTTGCGCTCACAGGCGTCGCGAACAAGGGCTTTTGTGCCCGCTAATTGCACCATTTGTGCGCAAAAGTTCCGACGCGAAGTGTGAACTCTCAACAGAAGGAAACATGAGACAACTCAAGTGCCCCGGTTTCTATGCCCTGCTCCTCCTCCGCCGCCGCCTCCTCTTCTTTCTCCTTCCTCCCGCGGAGCCCGCTGTTGCAGCTTGTTTGCACTGGGGCTTATCCGGAGCGGAAATTCCTTTCCGTTTTTGTGAATGACAAACTCATTAACAATTCATCAACACAACCTGTTCCAGCCGGCCCGTCCCCACGGCAACAGCCCCTTCCGCAGAGCGCTCATTGGCTGGCCCGGAGAATGTATCCATTGAGACGCTCGCTGTTTGTATCCATTGAGGAGCTGCCTCGCGCAGGGGGTGTGCGAGCGCCGAGTCCAAGGGAGAGTGAGCAATCGAGGTTTGAATAATCCTAGGAGAAAGACGGCCGGGTGGATTTGAGGTGCAGTCTTGGAGGGAGGGATTAGGAGCCGCTGGACTTTTCTTTCCTCCCTTCTCAGTAGCACGGAGTCCGAATTAATTGGATTTCATTCACCCTGGAGGAACAGAACTGTCTGGGCAGCTTCATTCAGAGAGATTCATTGACACCGAGAACGAGCGGCTGCAGCCGGGTGCAGAGGGAACCGCCGGCTTCACTTCGGTCTCGCCTGCGCCAACCGCTATCCCGGCTTGGGAAGGGCGAGGTGGCCTCCAACCCCGCTCCGAGAGCGGCGGCTTCCCGCGGCGCGCTCGGCCTCTGCCTGCCCCGAGGGGCGTCTGATAGGCACCCCGCCCTCTCCGGCAGCTCGACCCCCATGATAGATACGCTCAGACCCGTGCCCTTCGCGTCGGAAATGGCGATCAGCAAGACGGTGGCGTGGCTCAACGAGCAGCTGGAGCTGGGTAACGAGCGGCTGCTGCTGATGGACTGCCGGCCTCAGGAGCTCTACGAGTCGTCCCACATCGAGTCGGCCATCAACGTGGCCATCCCGGGGATCATGCTGCGGCGCCTGCAGAAGGGCAGCCTGCCGCTGCGCGCGCTGTTCACGCGCGGCGAGGACCGGGACCGCTTCACGCGGCGCTGCGGCACGGACACCGTGGTGCTCTACGACGAGAGCAGCAGCGACTGGAACGAGAATACGGGCGGCGAGTCGGTGCTCGGGCTGCTGCTCAAGAAGCTCAAGGACGAGGGCTGCCGGGCGTTCTACCTGGAAGGTACGAACCGGGGGGCTCCGCGCGGGGGGCCAGGCGGAGGACACCGGGCTGCCGGCTGCAGGCAGGGCGCCCGACCGGCCGTCTGAACCCACTGCTGCGCCCGGGGGTTGTCTGCCTGCCCCCCGGCTGCGGACCTCGCGAGTCCCGCACCCACGAGCTTGGCCCGCGCGGAACCGGCCCGCTTCCGGCCACACTTTCTGACTACCTTTGCTTTCTACCCGAAATGTCCTCCCCCTTTTCTTACTTTCTGTCGTTCGATTTTTGGTTGAGATTTTGCAGGACGGTTTTGGTGCAGATTGGCACCATCGAGCCCTTCAAGATATTCGGAAAAGTTGCCATTTTGTGCATTTCCGGATTCAAAAGAATGAGGGTTCCCAGGGGAGACGGGCCCGTTTGTTCTATTCCCAAGGGTGCACATTTAAGTGTCTTTCTCTTATATTTGCTTTCGCCTGTGGGGGGTTGATAGAGTTCTGTGGTGTGTTTCTGCGTGCGGCTGCGGCTCTCAAAGCTGTGAAAACTACTACGGGATCTCGGGTTACATGATTGTTTTTCTCCTCCTGGCAGGTGGTTTCAGTAAGTTCCAAGCCGAGTTCGCTCTGCACTGCGAGACCAATCTAGACGGCTCCTGTAGCAGCAGCTCGCCACCGTTGCCGGTGCTGGGGCTCGGGGGCCTGCGGATCAGCTCCGATTCCTCCTCGGACATTGAGTCTGACCTCGACCGAGACCCCAATAGTGCAACGGACTCGGATGGCAGCCCGCTGTCCAACAGTCAGCCTTCTTTCCCCGTGGAGATCTTGCCCTTCCTCTATCTGGGCTGTGCCAAGGACTCCACCAACCTGGACGTGTTGGAGGAGTTTGGCATCAAGTACATCTTGAACGTCACCCCCAACTTGCCGAATCTCTTTGAGAATGCAGGAGAGTTCAAATACAAGCAGATCCCCATCTCGGATCACTGGAGCCAGAACCTGTCCCAGTTTTTCCCTGAGGCCATTTCTTTCATAGGTGAGACTAATGAACAATCCTCGCTCAGACTTCCAATGCAGAATTCCTCACCATTCTTAAGAGTTTAAGCTGTTCATCTTTCTGGCTGCTTGCTAATTTGTGGGACTGCAGGTCTCAACTGTTTCAGGACCGTTCTTGATTCTGGTATATCTTCTTGTTTTTAAAAAAAAAAAAGTGCCTTTTGACAAGGCTGCGGACCACAGGTGTATTGCAAATTTTGTCTCTTGTTTGACTCTGACTCCAGTCATTTGAAAGAGGGGCCATTTGTACGTAGACCGCTGAATTTTCCCACCATCTTTGCACTGGAGGAGGGCCAGGTAGAAGTACTCTTGGCAGACAGGAATCCTAGCATGGCTTTATCATTTTAAAAGACCGACCTGGGAGTTGTTTTAGGATACCAAGTTAGTTGTTGGAAAGCTCTGTGAATGTGAGATGCTGTAATCCAACTGAATGTTACTGTGATACCGGTTCACAGTGAGACAGTGAGGGTAACCTGAGCCCAGCAGGAAGAACTGTGGGCTGAAAGCCTGGAGAAGCGAATCTCCAGGCATTGTAATGCATTTCCTATTACAAAGGAACTCATTTTCAGGCCATGTCGACATCCTGTTCCTCCTAATGGGCTGTCCCCTGTGACTTCCCTCTCTCTTTTTTAAAATGCCTGAATACCTCCATTGTTAGCTGCACAACAGTTGGAGAATAATTTAATAGACCCTTGCAGTCTGCTTGTCTGTATAAAAGGCATTCACGACCATATTGCAGGGTTTCTGGTATTCACATGCTGAGGCAGAGAATGCACACATTACGGGCTTTTGTGTTGGCAGAAACTTAATACAAAAGCTCCCTTTTCAGAAAATATCTGAAATATGTAATTGTGCCCAGTGTACATGTTTTAGCCCAGTGATACATTTTCTTGCCGCCTGCAGGGCTCAGCTGCCACACACAATTATTTTTTAATCTTTAGTAGTATTATTACTCAGGTTTTAGACTGATTGTTCACAAAGCGGGGTTTTCGGTCTACTGATATTTTCCCCTTTTTCTGTTTACAGATGAAGCCCGGGGCAAAAACTGTGGCGTCCTGGTGCATTGCTTAGCTGGCATCAGTCGCTCGGTCACTGTGACTGTGGCTTACCTTATGCAGAAGCTCAATCTGTCGATGAACGATGCTTATGACATTGTGAAGATGAAGAAATCCAACATCTCCCCCAACTTCAACTTCATGGGCCAGCTGTTGGACTTCGAGAGGACGCTGGGACTGAGCAGCCCCTGTGACAACCGCGTGCCCGCACAGCAGCTCTATTTCACCACCCCCTCCAACCAGAATGTGTATCAGGTGGACTCCCTGCAATCCACGTGAAGGCCCCCGCCCCCCAACTGGAATGTGTCCAGTCCCTCCTTAGCAGTTTCTCTTAGCAGCATCAGCCAGGCTGCTTTCTTTGTATGTGGCCCCAGGTGTCAACAGGACACCAGCTGTCTGTATTAGACAAGGTTACCACGTATGGAATTGGTTATTCCCAAGGGAGAGATTTGCTCCCTTCCTGTTGGAAGAACAGGACCTGCTGTATAGATGCGGGCCACAGGTTCGCTCCACACCCATGAGTACAGCCTACCCCTGCAGGGACTGGAATTCGAGGACTTCCAGGTACATAGGGTAGGACCAAATGGTAGGGTAGGAGCATGTGTTCTTTCGGGCCTTGAATGACTGTTTCTTTTGCATCTGGAACTGATTCTATATTGTCTTCAGTGAAGACTGATTCAATTTTGCATATAAAGGAGCCAAAGAGAGGTTTCAGCTCTGTATTTGTAGTGTCAGTTTGCAAAAAAAAAAAAAAACAAAAACAAAAATAAATAATCAATCAAATGAATCTCATATTCCATTTGATTATTGTAAATATTTGATCGTAAATCACTTGACTGTTTGTTTGAACTGTGTTTTTCCTTTGATGGGTTTAAAAGAAATCATCCAAAGGGAGAAAGAGCAGTTTGCCACTTAAAAACAATGGAAACTTTTGCTCTTTTTTAATCCAAAGGATATATTTGCAGCATGCTCAACGTTACCAATTCTGAATGACATTTTCATGGACACTTAATGATCATGGAGACCTTGTTATGGTGCAGCCTTCAGTCTCTTTCATGTATCTTCCTTGTGACTTTTTTCTCTTTAATGTAGTTTGACTCTGCCTTATCTTTGTAAATATTTTGGTTTGTATTGTCTCAGTGGGGATATCTTGGAAAGACACCAAAATCATGGGCTCACTTTTTTTGTTGTTGAAACTTCAGCTGTGCTAAACAGTATCTTACCTCTGTACAAAATTCTTCAGGGAGTGTCACCTCAAATGCAATACTTTGGGTTGGTTTCTTTCCTTTTTAAAAACAATTTGTGTGAAACTGGAAGCGTGTGTGTGTGTGTGAAAGTGAGCATGGGTACTCATTCAATAGGCGACATGCATATGATTGTGAAGGAAGGAGACAAGTGGCTCCGTATGTTCATGGTGTAAAGTTCTGAGCTGAAATTTTATTATAAGAATGTAAAACCTTAAATTATTAATAAATGACTATTTTGGCTATCAAATGTGTATTTTTTCAAAATCTCTCCTTAATTGTACTTTAGATATGAAGTGATAAATTCTAGGATTTTTCAGTTGGGGATTGATACTGGCTTGTATAAAATACATGTAGGAATATTGGGGCAAAGTTCTCACTTCAAAGTATTTCCAAGAAGTTTTCAGGTGCAGCTTATGAAATTAGCCTTTTGCTTCAAATAAAAGTGACGTAATGGAAGGGGTTGACTATCATTTCCTATGAGTGTGAGTGTGAAATTGGCTTAGTTGTGTCCAACTCTGTGATCCCATGGACTCTGCTGTCCATGGAATTCTCCAGGTGAGAATACTGGAGTGGGCAGCCATTCTCTTCTCCAGAGGATCTTCCTAGCCCAGGGATTGAACCAGGGTCTCTTGGATTGCAGGCAGAGTCTTTACCATCTGAGCCACCAGGGAAGTTCATATCATTCCTGTGGACAAAATATAGTACGTCTGGCTTATTTAAGACAACTGTGATGCTCTTGAAGAAAAATGGTGTCATAAGAGCATAGCTTTCTGAAATTACAATATTTAGATACTCATGAACAGTCATAAAGAAAAGGCTTCAGAATAACAAGATGAGAGAGCATTAACCTCTTGATTTTCCCTGTCAGGGCCTTCTGCTCAGTAATACACATACCAGGAAGAAAGTAGAGATAATTATTTTTCTGACTTGTAACTGGCACTTCTACCTCCAAATTCTAGTATTGGAATAGTAAATGAATCAGGGGTGGTGTCTCCCCTTTGGTGTCCGTGACAGAGCACAGCTAAGCTAAGCTGAGAGTCTGGATGTGGCCACAATATCACATTAGTGCTTGAAGCATCACCACTCCTGTTCTAATGTGCTTTGTGCTTAACTAATTTAGAATGTGGGCCAGAAACCCCTGTTGAAAAAAGTTTTTTTTTTAATGTTGAGGTTATTTTGAACCATTAATTTTCAAGGTAAAGGCTTAATATTCTGTCACTTCCCTCAGGACATCCCTCTCCTTGTCCCTAGTGTCCAAGTACACAAAACAAAAATAAAAGACAAGTGTATGAAATCAAAAAGAACTAGGACATACATTTCCAGCCCTTTTCTAAGGAGCTTAGTCCCTTTGTCTGCAGTGGAGAGAAAAGCGAGCTTTTCACGCACATGGTACATGGGAGATGTCAGTTGGATTATCAGATAGGAGGCAAATAACCCTGATTCTCTGGCAATTGTATCAAGCTGTCCCGTGTGACTTTTAGCAGCTAAGCATGTACAAAGGCAGAAAGAGTGCAGAAAAATACCAAGTCAGTCCCTCCCATTTGGGTGCCCTGAGTCAGCCGGAGCTCCGAAAGGAGAAGTGGGTTGCAGTTCAACTTGGCTCGTGTTAATCCAGTTCTGAACGGTTTCCGCTCCTGGCATTCCCTAAACTGCCTCTTCAAAGTAGGGATTTGCCAGCAGCCGTAGCAATTTCCTGTCCAGCTGCAGCTCGAGTAGCTGTGTGCGCTTCTCCTCCCTTCTCTTTTCTCTGATTTCTTTTCTCTTTTCTCTTTCTTCTCTCTTTAATACGGGCGGCGGATAATTTTAGTGCATTTCCTCTTTGTGGATTATCGTCTCCTTTCCTTCTAGCACTTGCAAACACTGAGTCCCTTCGGCTCTGCTCAAGCCGACAGCTGGCCTCCCCGGCACTTCCTCTCTGCTCACTGTGGGTTTGCTGTTTGTCACTCCACTTCTGAAATTAATAATGTTTTCTGGCCTAGTGCCACAAGCCATTACCACAAAGGGGAAGTAACACATATGAATAGCAGGAAGCCTTGCAGGGTCACAGTGTGAGCTGAGCTTGCGGTGGGAGCATAATTGAGCCCGGCCCCTTCAGCAAGTGTCTGACATCGATTTGGGGGAGAGGGGGCTCCCTGCCTTTAAGCGGCTCAAGCTGTGAAAAAAAAAAGTTTCCAATAAATTGGTAGCAAATGGTCTTTGTCATCAGTGCAAATAAAAGAGAGGGAGCAAGGAGAGTTTAGGGCCCCCATAAAGTTGCAATGTTAGGGATTTCTCCCCCCTTCTCCTGGTATATTGTTTCATAAGGCTGGTGAGCAGAGCAGGGGGCCAGCTTCCCTCCATTGCCACAAAGGGCCTCATGTTAAATGGGGATTTTTTACGGTTCACCCAGGCCAGAGGATTCAAAGAGCTATTCTCTTTCTTTTTCTTCTCTGGAAGGTGGAAGGTTGTAAATGACAGTGTGGGCCCCCATCTCACCCTGCGCCTTCCTTTCTCCAGGCCGGCCCTCGTTCCTTTGGTGCCTTTGTGCTTGCAGGAGCCCCCGTGAAGGCGATCATTTTGCATCTTGGAGTTGGGCTGACTTCCTGAATGGAGCCCTGCACGGTTACCAGGGCAACCTTTGCCAGCAGCTGCAGCCTCCCTGGCCTGCCCCCTCACCTGCTGTCCCCATTAGTGGCTTCCTCAGGTCTCTCTGAGCCAGCTACCTTTCCTGGCCTTCTGCAGGGAGCTGGGGGAGGCAGTGGCTTTCTTGGAGATTTTCTGCAGGTTTCATGGGACTGCTGGAGACTTAGAAGATGTATTGCTTAATGGTCAAAATTGGTCTTAGGGTTAATATCAGACTGAGAAAGGGTTATCTGGGGATAGAAGTACCAGCACAACCTTCAAAGGAGTGAAAACGGAGGCTTGCTTGACCCAACAATTAGAAGCCCTAAACTCTCACTCTCACTAATGAATCAGAAGGCCTGTGCAAGTCACCCAATCTCACTGCATCTTTCTCTCTCTCTTTTTTTCTTGTCTGTGAAGTGAGTTTTTCTCTTTCATTCTAGGATTCTCGTATCATTCCAGTGTTCTGGTACACATACTAAATGGTAAAATGAGCTGCAGATCAGGGGAAACAAATAACATTTACTGAGGGAATTAGATACTGTACTTCATGTATAATATTATCTCATCTAATCCTCAAAGCAGCTTTGAGATGAGTCCTATTATTATCCTATTTTCAATGAGGAAACTGAGGCAGACAGAGGCCAGCAGAGCCTACGGTCCCCTCGTGGGAATTGGTAGAACTGAGCTTTAAAGCTCTAGCTCTTCCTGTTGTAAAACTGCTTGTCATCAGAATTTTCTCCTCTTTGTAAAGTCCTGTGATGCTGACTAGGAAGTGGTGACCCCATTTCACAGCCGAGGAAGTGGAGGAAGCAGGGGTTAAGTGACCTGCCAAATCAAACCCAAATCAATAGAGTCAGAGGACCCTAGCTGATGTGTCATCAGAGAGATGTCAGGCTGCCTAGAAGATGCCACCCTCCCTCTACTGAAGAAGTTGCTCTGTCTTGGGCCCATGAGCCCAGAATTACAAACCTGATTTTTCCAAGGATCTCTAGAGCAACTAGCAGCAGGCCAGCTGGCCCTGACCCTTGCCCATACTCCCCTTTCAGGATTACACAAGTGAACTGGCCCCAGAGAGAGTCACTTCCTCCCTGTGATCCAGTTGGAAGAAAACTTGCCTGGTGATGGGGCGGGAGGGGAAGGGGGGAGGGGGAGGAGGGGGTGGGGAGGAGAGGGAGGGGGAGAGGGAGAGAGGGAACCATGGGGAGCTGCAGAATAAGACAGGCATATTAGAAGCAAATGGAGAAGCAGAATACAAGGGCAGGTCACGTGAAAGCTGGCTGTAACTAAATATTCTTGAAAAGTCATCTAAAACCTCAATCTTCAGGCTTCAAACTGCTTCAAAAGGATTATTTTGGGTGTAAATTTATATGTCGTTACTCACATACAAGATTCTGCAGACTTTCAAATATACACACTCCTCACGTGTTG